TATATATATATATATAAACAGGGATGATGACACATTACACAGAAACACAAGGAAACCTCAGGGTTGTCTTGCTCATCAGTGGATGTTTTATTCACTCAAAGAAGCATTGTATAGAGTCAGCATCACAAATACCTTGCTGCGTTTTGTACCCTTGGTGCTTTTTCTTAAAAAAGGTAAAAATCTTCTGAGTAAGCACTGTGGGTGTGAAGCTCAGCAAGGTACTTGTCGTGCTGACCAATGCTTCTTAATGTGAATAAAACAGCCACCAATTAGCAATATACTAAATGAGGATTCCGTGTGTTTCTATGTATTCAATTATTATGGAACCTGGAAGGGTCTGAGGAACCAATGGAGTAGAGCGTGCACATTTGGAACTACTGGCAGGATCTTCCCATCTACAGCGAGGGTTCATTTGTAGAGATGGCAACAAACCTGCACATTGAATTTGGAGTCATTCTGATCTTTCACAGGGTCTGCCAAAATTGTGCAGTTAAGCTAGGGCAACCTTACAATGCATTACATGCATGGTGAAGGAGCAGTTTGCGGATGAGAAATCCCAGAACATGCAGCCTCCATACTTCTCTCATTCCAGGCTTCCATTAAGGTTAGCATAATGTAGGGGGGAATCCAGAGGTGATCGAGAGGTGAGCGAACGCCGGTATGTGTTCGCTCACCTCCCGATCTACTGAGCCGACTTGTGACAGTCTCATTGTCACAGGTCGGCTAGAACTATGAGGTGAGTGAAAAGCACTCACCTCATAGTTCTCCTTTAAGCTTGTGGCCCTGCAGATTCTAATTTGGACATAACATGTTGCCTTTACGCCAACAGCAGACCCACTCAGTGATGTGAAAGATATCTACTACCCCAAATAATATTCCAGCCTATAGCTGGAGCAAAAGAAAAAACAAGCAAGTTTTTAAAGCTGGCCAGCAGACAGCAAATCCAAGGAAACCTTGCACCTGCTTAATAGGTGGACTAGCATACGAGCAACCTACATTTATCAGCACAATTAAACCTGTGCCAAAATCACAAATTCCACTTCTCTAAAATCCATGCTGGCATATAATGGTAAACCCCCCTTTTGTATTCAGTCTCATTTAGTAAACAAGGAGACCAGTGGCCATCATGACTTGCTGGAAAATTTGGCACTGGCGGGGAGATTTCAGCAACAAATGCACATTTTTGTTTTATTTTTATTTATTTTTTACACAGGATAGCACAATCACCATTATCAGTGTCATAATAGTGTATACATTTCACATGAGGTATTTTAAAGGGCTTGGCTAAGGCATTTTTTTTGTGGGATAACTAATACATGTAGTTAAAAGCAGGGCTGGACAAATCCCAGAAGCAGGTAGCCAATGCAAATATAGAGCCGGCAACCAACTTTTGAGGTTTTCTTTATAAATCGTCAATAGAGCCGGCTCCTGGATTGAATAGACTGGCTCCTGAATGCCATATTCATTTGGCCACCCCCAAGTTAAGTTATTTATTCTAAAAATATATTGTACCAATAATGGCCAAGCAAATTTTCAGAGAGACAAAAAATTCTAAATTACAGTCAATGGTAGTACAAGGCACAGTAACAGAAAATAAGGGTTAGGGTAAAACTTTGTACCAGTTTAAACGTAAAAATGTATTTGACTGGAGTCTACTTTCCGAGTGGAGAATTGCTTACTTCATTATTAGAGATGAGCAGAAGAATTACACCTTAATGGGAAGTTCTAATGTGTAGAGCACTCAAAGCCTTTGTCTGGGGGTCTGCTCTGTAACCAGTTGATATATATTTAGTGTGTTCCCCATTGTAAAGTAATTGGGAGTTAACAGGAGGACTAAAAAAAGAAGTAATACCGACATCTCATTTGTGCAAGATACCCATTTGCTTATTCCATACACAGGCTCTGCTGCCAGCAATGCAGTGTTAACACAGTAGTGGTATTTTACTCTTCCTTGTCACAGTGCAAACCTACTAGTCAGCCGCTGCTCTTCAAAAAACACGCACCAACCCATGCAAAAGAAGAATTAGGCTGGCATTCAACACTATGAAAAAAAAAAAGTGTTGGCATTTACAAAGTAGTGTGGAGCAGGAGTTCAGGGGGACCTGGAGTGCTGTTAGACATTTATCACATGGCTAACCACATAACCAAGATGTCACTGACTGGATCCCCTTGGCCTCATTTATGAACATACACCAACTAAAAACCTATCTAAAAATGCTAACAATTGCAGCTATCAGTCTTGAATCTGACTGGGTGAGTATGTTCAAGAGAGACAGCTCTTAGGCCCTGTTCACACCTTTACGTTTTGTCGCCTGTTCAACACTCTATGAACGCTCTACAAAAGCGTACAAACTTGAAAATCCCATTGTTTTCTATGGGTATGGTTCACACCTTTCCGTATTTCAGCACGTCTGAACGCGCTACAAAACGGCCTACACCCAAAGAAGTACATGTACTTCTTTGGGGCGTTTTGGTCTCGCGTTTCCATTGGGATACAGCCAGGTAGCCCTGGGAAACGCGCGTTTGTCACGCGGGTTTTTTTACTGCTAATCGCGCATATTCAATACGCCTAGGTGTGAACCCAGCCTTATTCAGCAACATGCTAATAAATGAGGAAGTTGGAAAGCATCAAATCTAGCATCCTGGTAACATATGCACATTTATTGAGGTGTGATTCAAATGGATAAGCTGACAGGTTCATTTAGAAGTAATCCAAACATCAGTATAAATATAAACAACTCACCCATTGGGCTGATTCGACCACTGTTCTGCCTTTGAAGATGTTCTTTATAACACACAGAGCACATTCCATTTGTCCTAGGGTTCCCATAAAAGCCACATCCTGTGTTGCACAGCATAGGTCCTGGAGTCTGATTGGTCTCCTGCGCCATTTTCTAGTCTGTAAATAGAAGCACGAGATACTCAGCATTTGCAGATGGAATGTGTCCAAAATCAATTGCAGAACTGAATATTCACAGTCAGTATGTTATTAGGATTTTTCATTTATGGCAATTAGTTATGCTAATTTTTTTTCCCCAAAAAAGAAAAAATATTGAAAATATTTTACAAAGCAAACATCCCACCACATATAAAATCGCTCATCTGAACTCACAATTAATCTTAGTGACTTACAAGAGATTTAGGGTCTGATAAACTGGACCTTTAAAAAAGGCACAGAGATTATATCTACAATTCTATATATACAGAACCAGCTCACAGGCACCTGCAGTAATGTATGAAAATATGCATTAAGTGTCCATGCCCTCGGAATCATGACCAGGATAGCTGCCAAATGCAGGGAGTCCCAGCTGTTTATAACCTGATTGTACAAGCCAATATAGTGTCAGGTTTGGAAAATGTGCTCTACGTTTCTGAATGTTAGCACTGTTCAGAAGACTCAAAAAATTAGTCACTTTCTAGGCAGATCATTTCCTGTTCTATGTTAAATATATTGAAGGTCACAGCAGGGCTGTGTACAAGACTATATCCATACAAACAGCTGGGTAAAGTATATACATGTTCAGCCAAACGTTGTTGGATAGAGTAAGGAAAGGGTAGAACCCTCAATAGCTCTTACTAGACTTACGGTCTACTAAAACTTGTCCTGCTGGGAGGATAGACCTCTCTAGCTCCAGATTGTAGTAATTCCCCACTGTATCCAAAACTTGGCTGGGTATACACTTGTAACACTTATACAACGTTCCCAGCAGAGTATGGTAAAGTTTGTCATAGTGACCAGGTTTACTATTTAATGTGGTACAACATAATTTTTAGACAATGCAAGTAAAATAATCACGCACCATAATTTGTAGAGAAAGTAAAATAATTACGCACCAACAGCTAATATATTCCATAAATGCGTGGGTTGTTCTCCAGGATAGGCAACTCCAAGTGTCCCCCATACATCTTCAGTTTGCAGGCCATTTCAGTACCTCCCAAACGCAGGACGCCCCTTTATGCAATCTGTGACCAGAGCTTGCATGGTCCTGAAGTAGCCAGTCTCTTCATAACCCAGGACCTCCTTAATGGTCATTTATTGTGCGACAGAGAGGCATGGGTAAAACACGCCCATACAAGCTCTGGTTGCATTCTACATAAGAATACCCTGTGGGGCTTCCATGAAATAAATGGAACCTGCAGGTGCGCTCTACACACAGAGGCCAACCGGATTAGCAAATAGTAATTTAACTCAATTTTAAAGTAATACAGTTTTTTAAAATCTGCATATCAAGCTTCTCTATCCCCCTTTTTGTCAACAGAACCATGGGTATCACCATCATAACTACATATTCCTACAAATTGCTCTAAAAATAAAGGGACAGAAAAAAAAAAAGAATGCATTAAGGTACAAAAACACCCAGCCTTTAGTAGCAGAGAGTCTTGACAGGATCGGGAGGTGAGCGAACGCCGGTATGTGTTCGCTCACATCCCGATCTACTGAGCCGACCTGTGACAGTCTCATTGTCACAGGTCGGCTAGAACTATGAGGTGAGTGAAAAGCACTCCTCATAGTTCTCCTTTAAATGCCAATTCAGCAAGTACGATCTGCCTGTCCAAGATGGGCAGATTGTAAAGTAATTTAAAAAAAACGTACGACCATCGCAAGACTAAGGTCTTGCAATGGTTGTAAAGTGTATGGCCACCTTTACACAGATTCTTTAGCATTAGTGTTACATTTCTAATCTAACCCAAACATCAGAGTTATTTTATCGCATTACAACAGCCTGAAGCAACTCTGTATTCCAGAGGGAGGAAATGAAGCTTCATTTGCTGTTGAGTAGGGCAGGATTGAAGCCTCTGCTGGGTATGCTAATAGAGATCTCCCACTAAACCCTGACATGCATGACATTTACAGCCATCAGATAAAGAGATATGGGAGCTGCCACTGTCCACTTACTGTGCATACAAGTAATCCAACAGGTACATAGGACCTGAAAAGAAAATTTTGTAAATGATACAATGAGCAGGCATACTGCTTAGTAGAAGAACAAACTTTCAAAGTGAACACACACACTTTTTTTAGATACCGTATATACTCGAGTATAAGCCGAGATTTTCAGCCCATTTTTTTGGGTGAAAAGTGCCCCCTCGGCTTATACTCGAGTATATACGGTATACCATGACCTGGATGAAGAACCTTCACAGACATATTTCTTTGTATAGGTTTTACAAGATGGTAACAATATCCTTAAGAAAGAGGACTTGATAATGCTTGGGTGAAATGTACATTTTAAAAGTCAGCATTAGCAAATTATACCAAATAGACTCTCTGCTCCCACTCTGCAAGGGCAACCCACTGAAACTCACTTATTCAGCTCCCCTGCCCCTTAGTCAGAGATGCCCACTGCTTCTGGGGCAGAGAAGCATGTGAGCTCCTCAACCTTGTGTAAGCTCTGATACCATCCAACATAGAGCTTCAACAGGATTAGGACTGTAAAGCAATGGAGACACAGGGAAGCACATGAAGGAAGGCGAGTGGACCATCATTCTCACCTTAGTGGGCAAGGTGACACCCACCAAGTTGTTTTCTTTCACAAGCACATCCAACACTATGCATGATGGGCTATTTGATCGATAATTGTACAAGGGTGCGATGCCGGGATAAAAAAAAAAGGTCGTACATTGGTTGTAAGGTGGGCCACCTTTACACCGAGGCTTCCCACAGCCAGTAAGGCTCTACTTAGTAGTGTCACTACCTGAAGCCTGCAGACAGGTGCACACATCAGGGTGAGCAGAATGATCAGTAAGCCACCGACCCTTAGGGCTAGTTCACACCAAGCGCGGAGCAGGTCCAGAGCAGAGCAGGTGCAGACTGGATCAAAACTGCCTCCAATGTATTCCTATGGTATTTTTAGCTCCAGTTCACATCGCAGCATGCAGATCCAGAGCAGGTCCACACCAGGTAAAAAAAAAAAAAACTGCAGCAGGCCCTATTTTACCTGCTCTGGATCTGCAAACGCATCAAAAACACATGCAAATGCCTGGAACGCACTGAAAGCACATGTTAAACTAAAACATTTTTTTTTTAGCCAAAAACACATCTAAAAGACTTGCGTGCTTGTGCAAAAACCTGACCGGATCTGCTCTGCATTTAGAACTATTTCCCCATAGTTCTCCTTAGGGTAACAGGAGGACACAAACTAGCATCCTTCCGCCACCCTAAGCTCAGCATACCGCGAGCTAACAGCTCGCGGTATAATGAGACGCCACAGTATACCACGAGCTACTGCTCGCGGTATACTGAGACGCCGCAGCTGAAGCGGATACCGACAATTATGTCTGGATCCACCCAGCTGGCTCTGCCTATCTAGAGGCAGAGCCAGCTGTAACCGCCCCCTCCCCCGTTCGTTCCGCCAGTCAGCGCTCCCCTGTCACGGCAGAGAGCCTTGACAGGATCGGGAGGTGAGCGAACGCCGGTATGTGTTCGCTCACTTCCCGATCTACTGAGCCGACCTGTGACAGTCTCATTGTCACAGGTCGGCTGGAACTATGAGGTGAGTGAAAAGCACTCACCTCATAGTTCTCCTTTAAATGCCTATTCAGCAAGCTGGTGACTAATTTCTTTTTTTTGCTAACCTGTAGTGGAAAAAAAAGTGAGGTCATTAGCATGCTATCTGGCAGGAAAACGTGACCTAAAAAACACTGACTGAGCAAACCTGCCAAAATTGTTTGGGAAGATAAATACTGCACAAATAACTAAGACTTTACGTCTTGCTAAAGAAAAGAAAAAGCACACACACACTCGTTTGGGTAAGGGCATTAAATTCAAAAGGATCTTTTTAAGCTGATGAAATCACTTACAATGGATGCTGCTTCTTAAGTTTTAGTTTCCTGCAGAATCAGCTGGTCCACTGAGCACTGGTCCTGACTTCCTGTTTTCAGAGCAACTCCTTTCTCAAGCAGAGTGCTGTGGAGCCACCCTTGTGCGTGCTAGTAAGCTCAGTGTGTCTCCACAAACACAGCAAGGCAAGCTACTCACACCACCGCCCCATCTCCTCCCTTTTCCAATCTAGTAGATGAACAGTTGCTGGAGTCTGTTCTCTCCCTTGTGATCTTGTAGTGGACAGGAAGTTTAGGGAAGCTGAGCAGAGAGACTTGGAAGCAGCTGTTCAGAAACATGAAAACTAAGCGTTTGGACAAAAATATAAAGACATACTTTGCTGGGCAATGTATATTTGTTTGACCTGAATTTATTATTGAAAAAAGTTGAGAAATACTACTTTAATACCAATTCAGGCTTAGAGTGGCAGAAATGTATTTATTTTTCAAAGCAGTATTAAAATAGTTTTTCTTTACATATATCTACTGCTAGCAAGCAGTGTAGGTATGTAAAAACATTTTACAATAATAAAAAAAAAAAAGTTAAAAAAAAAGAAAAAAAGTTACCCAACGGGTAAAAAGTTACCTGTCTCTGTCGCTCGCTCCAGTCAGAAAGTCTGAAGCTTCTCAACTGGCTGTGCAGAAGGATGAGTGCGGACGCATGCACAGTAGAGATCACCAGCGGAGAGAATGACTCACTGTAAGTGAATGCACACAGCCGGGTGCGTGCACGTCGGACAGACACAGTGGGACCCGAGGAGTATGCGGTGGATCAGAGACCAGCACCAGCGCTGGAGGGACTGCTGGAAACAAGTGGAAGGAAGATGATGATGATCGGAACAAGGAGGCATAATTTAAGGCAGTGGTTCTCAGGACCCACATTTGACCTTGGTCAGCAAGTCATGACCCAAGTCACAACACACAGGAACACACGGCATTGCGGTATCGCATGTTGCGGTGCGGACGATCTAACCGTAGGTGGGAGGTGCGTTTGGGGTGGCATTCAAATGTCAATGCAATACCTCCCACACCAGAATTCGCAGTAGGTGAGATTGTGCACGGTACAGTGCATTATTCGGATGGGACTGGGCAATTAACGCATTGTACTAGTGTGAACAGGCCCTCAAAAACACTGACAACCACAATTCCACACACTAAAAAAAAAAAAGAAAGGTTTTTATTCTTCCTTTAAGATCCACCAAGTATCTCTAACTTACGAGAACTGAAGCAGATCCTCGGCCTGGGGTCAAGTGCAGGCTGCTGTGCTGTGACAGAGCTCCATCCATATGTACTTTGCTGGTACAGCTCCCTTGCACGCTCTGTGAAGGTGCCAGGAACCAGAACGTTACATCACTCCGGTCCAGGCACCTCTACAGGACACGCAAGGGAGCTGTAAGCAATGCATCTATGAATGGAGCTCCCTCGCGGCCATAGTGAATGCTGAACTGACCCAAGCCTGTTATGAAGACTATTGGGAGGCACTGATATGAAGAAGACAGCAGCAATACAACATAATTGCAACTTTCAGGCTGCTGTGTACACATCCCACACCTGTGAGGACAGCAGAAGCAACACTACAAGACTATTCTGGCCAATTTACATGGACAAAAGAAAATAGGGATAAAAATACAAGAATGGCCAATAAGGTTTCTCCTTTAGTCTCTGCTACAACAAAACAAGGTATCCCATATTGGGCATCAAGGGCTACAACAAGCAATTTGTTCCAATTATATTCCATAAATTAATCCAGAATGAGCAGCAGCATGGACATGCCCTTATGTGCCACAGCACATACCAGTAAAGAAAGACTAAAAGCAGTCACTGAATGAAACATTGTGGTTGAACTAGGCAAAAGAAAAACTAAAAGCATTTAGTCCATTAGACCTATTTTAACAAATGCTGTTTATTCAGTAGAAAAAGGGGATAAACTATTCTACCAAATACTGAAGGATCAACTCAAGCTATATCAATGAAGAAGGTGATAAGGACTTTTCCTCTTCTAACTTTCAAAAAGTTTAAGAACGAAAAATCTTATGTTAAGCACAACACCTAGAACATCATGGCATTACTGGTTTTGTGTTGAGGCAGAGCAAACATCACCCAAGGTTACTGAAAACCAATACCTGAGCTGCTTTAGTTAAGAAGGAAAGGCTCCTCCTTTAAACATGGCAGTCTGCATGAACTGCTGACTCAGATAAACATGTTTACTGGACACTTCACAGCCTCTAGGGCTGTCATTTACAATTGAACTCTCTCTATATTGTAGGTAACAAGCCAAACATTGCTGCAAACTGTGAAACAATAGAAGAGATAAACCACTAATGTGTCAAAGGCGAAGATGTTTGTACAATACTTTACTACTTGTTGCCTGCAGAGATTGAAAGATTCCCCACCCTTGTATATCAGATAGTCTAATCTCTACTACAAACTATACCATCGACAAAAAAACTTCTCGCTGTACTCGTTTCCATCTTAAAAGTGACACTAAACTCGAGTTAAATCTTACAAAATGCAATTCAGTACCTTACCCATTAATAAAAATGTATCTTATTTGTGTGTCACTCAGCTGTAGATCCTCAAATCATCTCTGAATTGGTGCTGACACTGTCCTTCCTTCTGGAGGGTGGCTACTTTTGTTCCCCATGGTCCCTGTGTATGTTGTAAAGTAGTCACCGCTCCAAGCTCACTCTAGTGATGGACTACAATCTCAATACAAATTAGGAAACTAAAACATGAGATTGTAGTCCATCACCAGAGCGAGCTTGGGGTGGTGGCTACTTTACAACACACACAGGGACCATGAGGAACAAAAGTAGCCACCCTCCAGAAGGAAGGACAATGTTGGCATGAATTCAGAGATGATTTGAGGATCTACAGCTGAGTGATACACAAATAAAAAAAAAATGTTGTTAAGGTGCTTGAATGCATTGTTAAGATTTAACTCGAGTATAGAGTTACTTTATCAAAGACTCCACAAGGAAAAGAATATAAATCTTCATGTGGAAACTATTACTCTGTGGTGTGCTGAAACAGCTGTATACTGAAATAGGAAAACAAGGAAAATCCTGTTTACAGGCTAAATCACCCAAGATGGCAGCCATTTGGTACCTTACATTGCCTGCCTGAATCCCCCCCCCCCATGGTGAAAAGTAGTTTTCAATAACATGTGTCCTCTTTGATTTAAGATTTCTCCGAAGCTCAGGTCACATGGGTTGGTACACTGGCTTCCGTCTGTCACAAGGCTGCAATGTGACAGGCTGATCTGCAGGCTCAGACACACAAAACCTAGTCAACAGGGGCCTCTGAAATCAGCTGCTATTTATATCGCAGATGCTGCCAACTCCTACACAGCTAGGATAAGTAACACCACTTACTGTACCATACACTGCCAGGGGTCATTAACCATTTTTTACAGAAAAACAGACCCGAGATCAAGAGAAAAGAAATGCCCTCAGCCTACTAAAGCAATCTTTTAGAAACCATTCCTGGTGGAAAACCAGAAGACATTTCATGCAACTAATGCCATTAACCAAGTCTTTGATCCAGCACAAAGCATGCCATTCAGTTCTTGGTATCCATCAAAGGCTCATTACAACCAAGGAGAAAGCCGCTTTTGCTTCCAGGTACTAATTTATTGTGTAACAGATACTGGAGTGAATGACCCAGAAAAAGCACCTTTGTTTTGCCGCTGGATGACGTCACCTATCTCTGGGACAAACTCCTTGACATCCCAGGAACCTGCAGAACAAGTTACGCAATACAAGGACATGAATGGCACTTTGCCAACCTTGTTTATAACTGGATTAGTCCAGGAAGATAAAAATAAAACTTTCCAAGGGAGTTTTCTTCACAGGATTACACCACACTTCCCTGGATGTGAGGTGGCAAGGTTACACAAGTCGCCTAAGGACAACAGACTTCCTGCATTGCTCCCTATAGTGTGTCCTATGACAAAACAGTAGGCCAACCAATCAGACTCCTCAATGAGCATGTATCCATTCTTCATTGGAAGCTGAGGGTTACGTCATACAGTGCTGTGTATGGAACCTAGACACCAATGTATATACATCTTCCTAAAAGTACATGTAAGCTCCAGCTGGATGACATTTGGTTTGCCAAAACACCACATATATATTTCAGTCATTTAAAAACACAATATTAACCCCTTTTCTCCTCTGTTACAGCTCAATGCTACTGATCCCCCCAGCCTCTTTGCAGCCACTTCCTGTTTACATGCACCCCAGTGATGGCTGCATCTCAGCTGAGCTGAAAATTCTGATGGCGAAATCTGAAGACCATGTCTGTGTAATGGCCGTTAACACCTTTAGTGGTTGATTTACTAAAGTCTGTTCAATTAGCTTAGTGAATCAGGTGAAGACCTGTTGTCTTCCATCATATTGGTCATTCCTTGCAAGGAAATTCTTACATCTTAGTGAAGTTTGTATAAAACACACTTTGCAAAGAATACTTAATCACAGGCAAGGAAACAAACAATTACCCCCCACCCCCCCAGTATTTTTGCTTCCACACGAGTGGATAATGGAAATCAGCAGAATTCTCCTAATTCACTTCCGAGCTGAATTATCTATTTACTTAAGTCAGCCCCAGTGTCTCCTATAAAAGTGCATGCAACAGGGTGACTACACAGCTAAGTAACTGAGAGACAAAGCCGGCCGTTGTCACTCCTTAACAGGAAGTGCCTGCATCAAGACCTTCATGGCAGGATCCATAGTTTTGATTGTAACAAAAAGCAGCTAAGGAGTATGAAAATGGATTTTGTAATGACAGCTTTGTCTCATACCTACTCTGAAGCGACCATGGAAAACAAGCATTACTGGTGACAAACAGAAACCCCTTTGTAAGAGGAGGAGGGGGCTGGATGGGCAGCCATTGACTTGGAGAGGAGATTAGAGGGCCTGGGACACGTCCTGAAGGAGCAGGATCTGGACACAAAGAGGAGGCGGAGCTTGGAGACAAAGGAGGCCGAGCCACCATGGAGACAGGAAACCCGGGCCACAGGCATACAACGGGGGGCTATTAGCAGTAAAGCACGAAGACGTACTTCTCCCCCCTCCTCCTCCCCGCAGGCCTTAAGCCATACAAGTCTGGGTAAAAACCCCTGAGTCATCGTAAGACAGGAAGCCAGCCCGTGCTCCTCCATGACACACCACCGAGCTCTTTGTTCTGTCCCTGGGCCCTCCACATAGCCCTTCCCTTATTTACCAAGCCACACAACCGCCATTCCCTGCCCCCACCTCCGTCCCAGCTGTGTCGCCATATAAGGCGCTCCCCGTGCAGCCTTGTGCCCCTTCCGCTGCCAGCTCTCACACAGACAGGTCTCCCACCCCCCCACCATAATGTCACAACAAAGCCCAGCTCTTACGTTTGTAGTGTTATAGCCACAGGCGGCTGAGGGAAAAGTGTCCACGCTATAATCCGACCTTTGTTTGGACGTAACAACAATTAAAGGGCCGTGCTGCTCTATCCCGCCACCGAGTCGTATATTCCCGTCCTGTAAGGCCTAAGCCAGCACAAAGAACAGCTTTGCTCTCCGCTCCCGAATTAGTGTGCTCCCTTCGCCCCCCGAGTGTGTCTCCTATGCGTGAGAAAGAGCGTTGTGGCTATACACCACCAGGGGGCGGAGCCGAGCCCTGACGGAGGAAAAACTCCCTCCCACACCTACAGCTGCCTGGTTCCCCACGTCACATGGCGCGCCGGAGCCAAAGAGGAGCGCGCTGAGTGTACGCTGACTGTTGTACCCCGGGGCGCAGCGGCTTTACACAGCACGTTTTGTGTGTCACAACATGGCAGCGTCACGGCTTAGTCATGGTGGCCGGGCAGCTGCCCCTGTTCTCTGATACTAATGTTCTGTATGGTTTCAGCGTGGAAAGGACTTCCTGCTTCTCCCTTCCCGATAATTGTGCCGAGTATCAGACACAAAGGCACGTCACAGAATAAATAAAATGAAAAAATACTTGCACATGCTGAACTTTTCTGTTCTCACACAAAGCAATCCTAGACGGTGTAAAAGTTGCTTGCTACAGCTGGACTTTTTGCTTTCTGCTAAAACAATAATATTTTGCTATGTCTGCAGTTCTCTCTTCAGTGATCAGTCCTACACAGTTCCCTTCCTGTCCTTGCAACACCATTTCACTATTTTCTGGCACTGTTATGTGTATTGTTTTGTATTATTACTGTTGGATAGATTAGGGAAGGTATGTAACCCCTGCCCGTTCATATTTTGCTACCTGTTTACCATTGAGGGAGATATGACTTCACCTCCTGCCTCAAGAACACAACAGGAAGTGGGAGAAAATCAGTTGAATAGGGATAAGCTCATCTGAACCCAGAAGGGACATGGGACCACCCACTAAATCAGCTATGGGCCAGAGACTTCCACATAAACTAAGGGGCGGGATGCTTGTGCTGACATCATTGACCTTATATGGCAATATAAGGTCAATGTCATTGGCCAAACATAGCCATGTAAGGTCAATGAGGCCTTCGCAGCATCCCACCCCTTTGTTTATGTGCAGCTGTGGACAGCAAATACCTTGAAAGGGATATGGAGCCATCCACTAATTCAGCTGTAGGCCACGGCATTTCACATAAACAAAAAAGGATAGAATGCTTGTGCCAACATCATTGACCTTAAATGGCCATATTAGGTTAACCACTTCAAGACCAGGTGTTTAGACCCCCTTCCTGGCCAGGCCATTTTTCAGTATTCAGCGCTGCGATACTTTGACTGACGTTTATTCCGTCATGCAACGCTGTACTGAAATTAATTTTATACCATTTTTTGGGGACAGATAGAGCTTTCTTTTGGTGGTATTTAATCACCACTACGGGTTTTATTTTTTATTATAATTAGGAAAAATTATTGAAAATTTTGAAAAAACAACGTTTTTTGTAACATTATGTTAGGAAACATTTATTATTACCCAGTTTTTTGGTCAAATATAAAAGATCGGGTCACGTCGGTTAAATAGACACTAAACATGTCAAGCTTTAAAATTTCGCGCACCCGCGACATCGCAGAAAACGACGGCAACCAAAATTGGCCATAGGCGACACTTTAAACGTTTTTACCGCTCATCAGTTTAGTGTTATCAGTGATTGATGGCCCTAGACTTATTGCTCTCACTCCGACGTTCGCGGCGATATGTAACATGTGCGGCGTAATGGGTGCAATCGTCTTTTTTGCACGTATGCGCCCCTGACGCATGTTTGCATGCGTGTATGTATGTATGGGGACTTTTAAAAAAAAAAAAAATTCTTTAATTCTTTTTTATGCGTAACTTAAAATTTTTTGGGGGGGGGGACTTTAATTTTTTTTCACTAAACTTTATCGCTATCACATACGGGGGCTAATAAAACCCCCCTATGTGATAGCAAAATATGTGACAGGTCCTCTTTATGGAGACATCAGGGGTCTCCAAGACCCCTAATGTCACCTAGGACCCCCCAAAAGAAGCTGATGAAGCAGAGATCTGCTCCATCAGCTTCTTTCCAGCTTCTGAAGCTGGAGAGTGACACAAGAATGCGGAAGTGATGTATTATACAACACTTCCGCATTCTTTCAGAGGAGAGGGGACCGGAGGGAGCTCGTGTACCGAGCTCTCTCTGATCCCCTGTGTCACAGGCGACATGCTGATCCCGGGCTCGCACCGGGCACAGCGGAGCCCGGGATCAGCGGGACAATGGCGGGGGGGACAGCAGAGGGAGGGGGGGCCGCACCGATCGTCGCTAAATACAAGCGATCCGCCGGCTTTACAGCCGGCGGATCGCATGTATATTAACGGGCATCGCTGCCCGTTTTTAAATTCCGGCCATTTCCCGCGGCGCGTCTGAGCGGACGTCTAGAGACGCCCGCTCAGATCGAGAGAGCTCCTGGCCGGCCGTTTTTTTAATACGGCCGGCCCGGAGGTAGTTAATGTCATTGACCAAAATATAGCCATGTGGCCATATAAGGTCAATGACGTTATAGCATCTTGTTTCTTTGTTTACCTGAACCTGGGGATAGGAAATTCCTTGGAATGGACATGGGGCCACCCGTTAAATCCACTGAAGGTCAGGGCATTCCACATAAATAAAGGGATATAATGCTTGTGCCGACATCATTGACCCTATATGGCCATGTTAGGTCAACGTCATTGGCCAAACATAGCCATGAGGCCATATAAGGTCAATGAGGTCACATCATCTCGCTTCTTTGTTTTACGTTAAGCTGCGAATAGGGGCCACAACTGATTGGTGGAAGCAGGAGGAGCTGCCTTTCATATTTGGAGGAGTTCAGGTTCGGTCCGAACCTGAGCTCATCCCTACTTCTAAAGTAAGCAAAATTCCCCTTTTAGCTAGTTGTCCACAAAACAGGTGTCCCCAGTGCATGATTTCCCCTTACTTCTTGTTCTAGGGACAACTTGAAATTTTGGATTTCCCCTCACTTTGGGCTTGTTCACACCCTGCTCACTGAGCTGCGTTTTCTCTGCACACCAGACAAAATTTTAGATTTCCCCTCACATTCTTTCTTGGTGACACCAGTCATCAGGACAGAGTGGTGAATCTTCCAAATGCAGACAGAGCTATAAAACTTGACAGAGGGTCTAATCCTCCCCCACACCATCCAAGACTAAAAAATAAAAGCTTTGCCTAGAGCAGAGGTGGGCAAACTCCGGCCCTCCAGCTGCTGTGGAACTACAAATCCAAAGAGGCATTGAAAGATTCTCAAAGCCACAAGCATGACACCAAAATGACTGACAGTCAATTTGGTGACACCCCCTATGAAAAGTCCAGCACTTGGTCACGGACCGGGAGTTCGTCGCAAGTTGACGGGTCGGCGGGCTTCGGGTTTCCTTTTTTTGAAAATTATTTCTATTTATTTATTTATTTATTTTTTATTTCGTTGAGTCGTGGAGGACAACCCTGGACGTCGTGATTGACCTTAGGATTACGTCAGTGGGTCCATTTTTTATTTTGTTTTTTAAATAAAAGACCTGTCGAGAACATGTCTTTTGTTTTTTTTTGAATTAAAGGATTTCTTGAAAAGGGTGGCATCTTTTTTACAATTTGAATTTAACCCTTTAGTGAATGGGTGCCCCCAAAGTGAATAAGCCCCCCTGCCCGCACCCCCACAACCAACATGACTTTGAGGGGGAACCCCCATCCTTTTTTTTCTTTTTATTTAAAAGGGGTCCCTCCTAACTTTCCTACAAGACCTAAAGGGTCTGGTCATTTTTTTTAGGGGGGGGAGGGCTGCAAGGTTTTTTTTTTTCTTTATAAATGTCAGTTTTGCTGCGGCAGGTTCTATACATTGTGCAGATGCGCCACTTTACAGGCAGTTTAAGGGAACCCCCTAGGCACGATATTTAAAGGAATTTTTCATTTTTATTGTTTCACTTTAAGCAATGTTAAAATCACTTCTCCTTTAAAATGTTTATTTTTTTTAAGTGTTTTTTTTCATTGATACATGTCCCCCAGGACAGTACCCAAATCCCTATACGCTTTATATGGCCAATACCGTGCATATAAGCCTTCAAAATGGGGACATTTGATTTTCTGAGTTCTGGTCCCATAGACTTTCATTGAGTTCGAATTCAAACTTTTTCCGTGTACTAACTCAGGTGTGTTTGTCCCATCACTACACATCAGTCCCTGCCCTCAAGGAGTTTACAATCTAAGGTCCTGAATGTACACACATACATGAGCCAATTTAGACAGGAGCCATTTAACCTTCCAGCATGCCTTTGGAGTGTAGGAGGAAACCGTAGTACCCGGAGGGAACCCAGGCACGCACAGGGAGAACATGCAAACTCCTTGTAGATAGTGATCTGGCCAGGACCTCCTAGAGCTGAGAGGCAGAAGTGCTAACCACAACGCCAGTCTCTTTAGCTCATTTGGTGGCTCCGGGACCACCGCAAATCCTGTCAGAATGGAGAGCTGGAGCAGGCTGAAGAATATCCGCTCCCTGATCCCTATCATCACTGAAGAGGGAAGCGCTGTGTTTTCAGCACTTCCTGCTTCAGAGTTGTCAGAAGTCTGGCCTGCTCCAGCTCTCCATTCTGACAGGATTTGCGGTGGTCTAATAGACCTCTGATGTCTCCATAAAGAAAACCTGTCACATGCCAATGTTATCACATAGGGACTTGTTAGCCTCCTTGTGATAGCAATAAACGTATGTAAAAAAAGTGTAAAAAAATAAAGAAAAATTAAAAGCATCGCCAGGCTCTGCATGCACATGCAAACTCGCTTGTAGGGCATGTACGTGTACTTAAACAGCAGTATTGATGTGACCATGAGAGAGAGCAATAATTCTAGGGCCATAATTCACTGTTAACTCTAAATTGATGAGCAGTAAAGGCTTTCAAAGTGTCACCTATGGACAACTTTGAGTACCATAGTTTTTCACCACTGCAAGGGTGTGCACAATTTTAAGGCTTGATGTGTTTGGTATCTGTTTAACCACATCTTTCCAGCATGGATAGAAGAATCTCCTGCTGCCACTATTGTATTCAGACAGTCAAGGCCGGAATTCCCATAAGGCCACGGAGGCCCGGCCTCAGGGTGGCAGGGAGTAGAGGGGCAGCAGGCGTGTAGAATTCCTATCACCCGAGGCCTAGGACATGCAGTTCTGGGTGCCGGGCAGGTCGTTTTTTTT